CAGTATAATGTGTTCATTAAGAGTATATATGCAGGTAGCGCAAACCGAATTTCATGTCTGAAGCTGGCTGGTATATATCAAGAGTACATAATATAGATCTCTATTGTGTACTCTTGATATATATATCAGGAGTAGATAATAGGATTTCTATTATTTACTCATATATATATATATTATAATTTTACGCTGTGGCTATATGCCCGGCAGCCGGGCACGGTCTTCGATTTCTTAAATGCCCGGCAGTTCCTAACCCTAACCCTAACCCTAACCCTTGTTTACTTGAGATAACGCTGAAAATCAAAAAACTGCCGGGCATTTAGGAAATCGAAGACCGTGCCCGGCAGCCGTCAGATATATGCCGGCTGCCGGGCATATAGCCACTCTGCCAATCGTATTGCATTATATATCAGGAGTAGATAATAGGGTTATGATTATATTCATATTGACGTTAGACGTATAGAGGGGTGTAGATAAATGAATGTAGTAAATGCGCGTAGACGCTCATGCTACGCGTTGTGGTTAATATATCTATCACGTTCGTGCGGTACGGAGCAATAATTATCTGCCGTGCTGTGGAGAGCAAGGCAAGGCGAGGCAGGATTAATTCTGTTGACGTTCACGCGGTGTGTGAGCAAGCTGGGATGCTACACGAGTCAACAGCTGCGTTGTAGCCTCGTTAACAATGCACGATGTGCTGCGGCAGGCTGCAGCAGCCACACACAAACGGTTTTCCTCCTCGTCAGTCTTCTCTGAAAGCTGATATTCACACTAATGTTGTGGCGGTGTGCAGCTTTTACTGCAACAGTTTCGCATGTCATTTCCCCCCCCCCTTCATTCTGGTCGCTTTGTGTTTGCCCTAGTGGGCGAAAATAAAGGTTATAGTTTATAGTTGAAGTCATACTACCTATATGCCAGGTCTGCCAATTAAGTCCTTGCCAGGTCCGTCAGTTTATTAAAAAAATCATTTCTGATTAAACTGAATGCAACACTTTTCGTACACTAAAAACTAATCAAAGATTCCACATTATGTATGTCATATATAATGTCCACATTTCAAATGTTTTGCTACCAGGACACGTCAGCTGGACACAATGCTATCTAATACGGATTTTTTTCTTAATTTTTTTTTAGAAATTTGATGGTGGCGACGTTTTTAGCCGATATCAATTTCGATAAGTATACGTTTCCACAGCGCTGCAGATAAAGTGTTACTGCAAATATTGTCATGGGTTATTTCCTGATAAGTGCATGAGTTTCTAATTTTTACTCCTGATGGAGGAAAGTGGGGGGAAATAACTTCACTCTAGCGCCACCCCTGGCATAGAGTGTTGCATTCTTAACATGAATATATGAGAAGTGTGCTTGGAGGGGGGGGGGCGTCATGCAAGGGTGATCACTGGCTGAGAGGGTCTATGTCCCCCGGGGTACTGCCGGAACGTACCCTGGGGGACATAGACCCTATGAGCTGATCACTGATCACTATTTATTGCTGTGCATTGTTTAAATTTCAGAAGCAGTATGGCATGTAGGTAGCACCAACAGCACTTGTCATTTGCAAAATTTAAGCTCTGTGTACTGTGACAGTGTGTACTGTAATAAAAATCCATTTCCTTACTGCATATAATTATGTTCGCTATCGTAATAATATCAACATCAAAATAAGAATTATATAAATGAAACATAGAATTATTATATATATATATTTAAAAAAACCGTCATGCCATCATTCCAGAGTGACGCTATATATGTTTAATAGTGGTAGCCATATCGCTAGTATGTGTTTTTCAGCACTGCAAGTATTTAAACACTGGATTACCTATATGGGTGTGTGTTCCTAGGACAACACCACTGCCCACTACAGAACTGAAGTTCTGAAGTTCATCCCATCTCGCCGTTATTAGTCATTGCTGTGCGTGGTTTATTGTACCTGCATTACTGTTATTTTATGTTTATAACTACGTATGTTTGTTATGTTTATGTTATTATTACTGTTATTATGTTTATGCATTACTCTGCATGCATTAATGTTATTTTATGTTTATAACTACTGTCGTTATGTTCGTTATGTTATTATTACTGTTATTACTGTTATTATGACCCCTGTGTCTGTGTGCTTGCAGCACGATGTCACCCACCACCACGGAACTGAAGCATAGGCGCACTCCGAGTGAGGTGACAGAGTTCTCACCCGATGACATCGACCTGAGCTTTCCTGATCGCAAACTAGTTGGCATCGATGGTGAGTTGACTGCATTCTATGTTATCCGTTATTATTATTTTTAAGAATTACCAACGATAGTTGCCATCAATGGTGACTGCATTCTATGTTATCCGTTATTATTATTATTATTATTAAGAATTAGCAACAATAGTTGCCATCGGTGGTGGGTTCACTGCATTCTAGCTCTTGATTCTATGTTATCCCTTATTAAGAGTTAGCAACGATAGTTGCCATCGGTGGACGGTGGTGGGTTCACTGCATTCTATGTTATCCCTTATTAAGAGTTAGCCAGAATAGTCGGCATCGATGCGGACTGCATTCTATGTTAAATTAAGAATTAGCAAGGGTAACTGATATCCAGTAGGGAGATTGCCGCTGTGATATCCAGTATAGGTACGGTAATGATTTTCTACTACATGAAAGCATGCTAAAGGTGTTCTAGGGCTTCTAGTAGAGATATTATATAAAGGTATTTGACATCCAGTAGGGAGATTACACGTGTGATATCCAGTAGGTACGATAAAGCCATAAAGGTTTTCTACTTCATGAAAGGATGCCAACGGTTTTTGGCGTCTAGTAGAGATATTAAAGGTATTGGACATCCAGTAGGAATAGTAAGTCAGATAAAGGTTATTGGACATCCAGTAGGGATAGTAATTAAGTCAGATAAAGGTTATTGGACATCCAGTAGGGATAGTAATTAAGTCAGATAAAGGTTATTGGACATCCAGTAGGGATAGTAATTAAGTCAGATAAAGGTTATTG